GACTCATCTAAGGGTGTAAATGTTTGTAATATATCTTGCAATGATCAGTCATGCTGTGTCCCAGGATTGGGAGTCAGTGATAATAATCTGGGACGAACTACTATATCCACTCCAAAATCTCTTCGTTCGCTGACCTTCAGCTCTACCGCTCCTTCTCTTGATTCAAGCCTCTTTACATGGGAGACAGATTGTACCTCTTCTCAACCCAACCATAAAGTGCATCCTATTGACACAATATTCAAATTTCATAAGGCGATACGAAAAGATTTGGAGTATCTTGATGTTGAATCTAGTAAGCTTAGTGACTGTCATGAAGCTTTTCTTCGGCAGTTCATTGGAAGATTCCGGTTGCTTTGGGGTTTGTACAGAGCCCACAGCAATGCTGAGGATGAAATCGTTTTCCCTGCACTTGAATCTAAAGAAGCACTCCACAATGTGTCTCACTCCTATACCTTAGACCATAAGCAGGAGGAAAAATTGTTTGAAGACATTTCATCTGCCCTCAATGATCTTTCGAAGCTTCATGAAGGGCTGAAGGATGACTCTATGGGCTTAAGTGATAGGGATCACATAAGGAAATACAATGAGCTTGCCACAAAGGTTCAAGGAATGTGTAAATCAATAAGAGTAAGCCTGGATCAACATATATTTAGAGAAGAACTTGAGTTGTGGCCACTGTTTGGCAAACATTTCTCTGTGGAGGAGCAAGACATCATTGTTGGTCGTATAATTGGAAGCACAGGAGCTGAAGTACTTCAATCAATGTTGCCCTGGGTAACTTCTGCTCTTACTCAGGATGAGCAGAATAAGATGATGGACACATTAAAGCAGGCTACTAAAAACACCATGTTCAGCGAATGGCTCAACGAGTGTTGGAGACGAACTCCTGAAACATCTGCACAGCCTGAAGCCTTGCAAACTAGCAATACAAACAGAGGTTAGTGTTATGCCCTCACTTATTTCTTTGTGTATCTTGCTCTTGGAACTGCAGTTTAGAGCTTAATTTATGGCTTGACCGTTAATGCATTCAATGGAGGTAACATTTGTTCCTTGAAAAATACTAGGTTCAGTTGTTGATTCTCATGAAGGCTTGGACCAGAGTGACCATATGTTCAAACCCGGATGGAAAGACATTTTCCGTATGAATCAAACAGAACTTGAGTCGGAGATTAGAAAAGTTAACAGGGATTCAACTCTTGATCCAAGAAGGAAATCTTATTTAATTCAAAATCTGATGACTAGGTTTGTCTGCTTCTTTTTGCTCTTTTTATCTGTTGCAAAATCTATACATAAATCAACAGTAAACCGCATCTGGATGATTTTTCTATGTACTCAGCCGTTGGATAGCCTCTCAGCAGAAATCACAAGCATCAACAGAAGAAGTTTCTTGTAGTGAAGATGTTGGGTGTTCACCGTCCTTTCGAGATCCAGAGAAGCAGATTTTTGGATGTGAGCACTACAAAAGAAACTGCAAACTTCGTGCAGCTTGCTGTGGAAAATTGTTTACATGCAGATTCTGCCATGATGAAGTGAGCGACCATTCAATGGACAGGTAAACCTTAGCTAGAAATACCTAAGGTTGCAGTTGGGTTCTTTACATCTCATGTCTACATTTTTTTCAGGAAAGCAACAGTAGAGATGATGTGCATGCGTTGTTTGAAAGTTCAAGCAATTGGACCTAGCTGCACGACACCCTCATGCAATGGATTTTCCATGTCAAAGTACTTTTGCAGTATATGCAAATTCTTTGACGATGAGAGGTAGACGAGTCAACTTAGCTTCTTGTTAGAGTTTGACATAAATGTGTTGTTTACATCCTACTTTGCGTGTTTATCCGTTTGAGTGCATCATTTAAGTGTACTTGAATTACTGGATGAAGAATGACATGGTCTTTTTTATGTCAGCTAGTGACCTTAGATCCATAGTAGTTTTTGACAATACCACCTGATGATACGTTTTTTCTCTTACATATGTTATTAAGAAAAATATGATCCCTGCACAAGTAATGCATTTTTTGGTTGGTAGTACTATATAATATCTGCAGTAAGTTATGCGGGAGTTATTATTTTATGCGTGATAGAACGAGGAATAAGGATACATGTATTAGCAATAAAAATATGAGCTATTTAAAGCCCAAATGCTCTTAAAGTAAGTAATTCCATCCTAACATTCTATGTATTATTATTTACCCAATACCTACATTATTATTCACCGCATGAAAATACCTTCAATATTATTCTATGCATATATAATTATGACTTTATAATTCCAACAATAACTAGTATGTGAACCAAACTACCCTAACAACATCTTTTCCACTCTCTCGAGCGAAAAATGAGATTGAAATTTTCATTTCTCTGTGAAACTTGTGTGAGAATAGGCAGTTTTCCTCTACTGAATGCCTATTTTCTGTATCAGGCCGGTATATCACTGCCCCTCTTGCAACTTGTGTCGTGTTGGAAATGGTCTCGGAATTGATTTTTATCATTGCATGAAATGCAATTGTTGTCTGGGAATAAGTTTGAAAGAGCACAAGTGCTTGGAGAAGGCTTTAGAAATAAATTGTCCCATCTGCTGTGAGTTTTTGTTTACTTCAAGTGCTACAGTTAGACCTCTGCGTTGTGGGCATTACATGCACTCAGCTTGCTTTCAGGTGAAAAATCAATCTTGTACTTTGTGCTCTGACATATATATCCTTTGACTTATAAAGAATTTTGAGGAACTGATTTATTTGATTTAAGCTCACTAAAATTTTAACCATGCTCTCTCTACCAGGCATATGCTTGCAGTAACTACGTTTGTCCGATATGCAGCAAATCCATGGGTAATATGGCGGTAAGAAATTCCTAGTGATCTCCTTTTATATTAATTCTTTTAGGCTGCAACTGTTGCCTTCAAGCACAAAAGATGGTGAAGCTGCTATGCCAAAAGCGAGAGAAACCCCATCCCTCTCTTTTCTTTTTTCGCCCCCATGTTCCCCCATAAGCAACACTTTCATATAAATTTGTCACATTTTTTGTTATTTGTCGAGTGACATGTAGTCCTAGTTTTTATGATCGCTTTTTGACATTTAATTACACAGCGGTTACGAAGAGTTCCCACCTTTTTAAAATTCAATTATTATTTTTTTGATTTGTGGGAGGTGCCTCTCCTCATTGTATCTCTTTCTCTTTTCCTTGTTCTTGACTTTCCTGGGAGGGTAGTTCAGGTGCCTCCTGGGGGGGGGGGGGGGGGGGGAATGGTCCTATTCATTTAGCTGTTGCAACTCATAAAGTTGTCCTTGATGGTATATGGTGCTATGGACTTCTCAAAGATTTTGATACTTTAAGTGCTCATTTTGAGTGGTACCCTAAAGTTTCTATAAATATATTATACTTGCCAGGTTTATTTTGGAATGCTCGATGCGCTGCTGGCTAATGAGGTTCTTCCAGAGGAGTACCAGAGTCGTTGTCAGGTTTTGCCTTAATTAACTTTTCTGTGCATTTTACTTTCATTTCTGCACTTGCATTGGTATCTTTGGTACCACAACGATCAGAAATCGTTGGCTGTTATTGGATTAAAAATGTTGATGGATGGAGAACACATATAGCATGAATTTTTGGCATGTTGGTGAGATGGAAAACATATATAGCATGATAATTTGGTCATCTTTCAAGTTATTTCGTTCGTTTACTCCGTAAAGCTTAAAAAGGTTTAGGATGAAGGGAAGAGATTGGCAACCAGAGTAGTGATGTTGTTTTCTACTAGAAATGGATGCTGTTGTTGCCGCAGTTGTTATGAGTCTTCTAGCTGTCTCGATCTCGACATCAGTAATGTAGTCATTTTGGAAAAAATCATAAAAGATAGTACTTAATTTTGATGATCTGCTAGGTAATTGTTCTAATTAGGACATTATATAATTTGGTACTAGGTGCTATGTTAGAATTTGTATATCGTGATCATACTTTGGTGGTGTATCTGTATTTTTCCTTAATCTTCCATCTAATATGATGATATTTCAAATTCAGGATATTCTTTGCAATGACTGTGAACAGAAAAGCAGGGCGCGCTTCCATTGGTTATATCATAAGTGTGGGTCCTGCGGATCTTACAACACCAGAGTCGTTAAAGCGCCTGCGACATATTCTGACTGCCCTACCTCAAATGGTGGAGGAGTGAGGAGTGAGGAATGAGCACTCTCTCCACTGTTCGATGAGCTTTTGCACCTGTAAATAATGTACAGAGAACCAAGCTTTTTCTCCTAGTGTCGACATTAGTAGGCAAAGAGGAGGCCATAGTTTTCAGGGAATGGATATTATCATGCAGCTGTTTTGTTAACAGCTATTGGATCTATTACCAGCTTAAGTTCAGCGGTGGCAAGTTTTGGCAGGAAATTCATAGGTGGTCTTGAGTTTAACCCTAGAGCCTTAGAGAGACTGTAATATACCTAATGTATAGTCTATAAATTTGTTTCAATAGTTATCGTCTAAAGTTGCAATGATAATTTCTACTCCAAATGTAATTCTCGCGTTTGTTTCAAATGCTTTAATGATCTCTAATCAATGTATTTTTTTTTTCATTGTCAAACAAGTTTGCTGCTTTCAGAAGACTTAAAAATGGGTCACAAACAAGATGCTTCGATTACCAAAAACTGGAGGGTGGAAGGAAGGCGAATACCACCTAGGGCTTCTAACATCTGTAGAACTGATTTAGCATCATTCATTTACATGTAACCAATTGACACCATGGATAAAAAAAGTATACATCTGGATTTTATCTTAACAACATCTTCAAAGCATCTTATAGTATTTCTTTTTGCTAAGTACCACTGTTTTCAGTTTCACATGGTGCCTCTGCATCGACGAGAACGTACCATGGGGGAATGGGCTTGGAAGATTCAAGAACTGTTGCAACCTATTTCCTTTTTGGTCCGCGCAAAAAAGAATGACCCCTTTCCTTATTTGAAAATAATTTACCTTTATACAATGATTTATAGCCACACAAAATATATGTGCCTCATTTTACACCACAAGTTCAAAAGTCTCTCTCTTTTCTTAAACTCCGTGCCCAGTCAAATTGAAACAGAGGGAGTAATATACAGTCAGTTAACTTCATTTACAATTTGCCTCCCTGACTTTGCTGTGAGAGGGTCCATAAAGGTTTACTAAGAACCAGCTGCCTGTGCAAAACTAAAGGGTTGAAGGCTACTTCCAAGTTCACATGCATTTTAGATTGCAGTTGAACTCAGAGGATAAAACATGGGAAAAGGAAACATGAGGACTCTACATATTAGTGTAGTTAATGTTAGCCAAATGTTACATATTACCAACACCAATGGGCAGGGGCAGGAGCTTCTGGAGCAGCTTGATCAGATAAGTTAAATGCTGTAACTGCATGCTGCTTCACATTTACCATCATAGACTCATACTGCAAAAGTAAGATTGTTAGTCCTCACATCTTGCAAAAGAAAACATTGCCTAACAATTGATGCCTTTTCTTTTTCAAGAATGCGTCGTGACAGGGAAGGGTTGTAAAACATTGTATCAGAGTTATACACTCACATGTAACCTCGGAATAGAGCATCTCTCTCCAAAGAATTTGAAACAATAGTTCAACATGTTCAACAAAATAATAAAGGTTAAAGTCTGTTGAAAATGGATGGCAATCAATCTAGACAGGCGGACTAATATTACAACAGATTGAGCTTCAGAAAAGAAAATGTAAGGACTCATGAAAACAGTAATATATTCGATAGGGAAATTGAAAATCCAAGAGCAAAGTAAGAAGGTCAGATTTGAGAAAGCATGCAACAAGCAATTATTTCAAACAACTAGGTCATAAGATCAAGACAGAACTATGACCAGTGGCGGAGCCACTCGTTGGCAAGGGGAGTCAATTGACACGCCTTAGTCGGAACATTATACCGCGTAGATAGGTTAAATATTTTATTTTTATGTATATATACTATGTCTTGACTCCCCTGAATTTTTTCATATGCTTACTTATTTATATTTTGACTCCCGTTAGGAAAATTTTTGGCTTCGTCACTGACTTTGACGCCCACTATCTGTTAAATGTTATTCTAAAAGTTTCACCGAAAATCTTAGTATGCACAAGTCAGCCTTTTACTAATACGCTAATACTAGTAGTATGCCAAACCAAGAAAAGCAATGGTCATTAACAAGGTGAGAGTAATTTTAACCCTGGAAATTAACACAGAGTAAGTAAGAACATCTAGGATGTGGAATATCACTTACTGCGTCAAGTTTACCACGCAAGTAGCTGGACTCACTCACTGAATCAACTTTGCCACGCAAGTAACTCAAGTCCACTGCTAGTTTGATGTCTTGCTCCCTCAAAGCCTCATTATTGTCACTAGACAACAAGGAAATTTCTACACCATTAACCTGTGAATTTTATGAATGAGAAAACATCAAAAGATCAAACTTTATGACCCCCCCCTCTTTTCTAACAAAGTAAATATCAGCTTGATAATACGAATAGGGCATTTCTAATAAGTCAACTAGTCAAGTCAAGTACAAAAAGCAGAATGTTCACAGCCTGTTCATAAAAGGAAATAAACGGAATAAATAAAGAAAAGTTTGCTATGGCCTAAAGAATAGTAATAACCTTTTAAATAACAATATTCAAGAGCCATGAAAGACTTCAACTTTATGCACGATAATCTTAAAAGAAGTTAACACCAAAGAAAAACATCAAAAATCAGCAAAGAAGCTCATGTAATGTACCAAAAAAAAAGCATAAAAAATCAGCAAAAAGAGTATACACCTCATTCTCAGTGATGGCTTTTCTCTTCGTCGTCTTTCTTGGCTTCATATCAGTTCCTTTTTCCCCAGCAATTTTTGGGAGCTTAGTATACCTTGCAGCTTTAAGCTTCCTCCTCCGAGGTCTGCCTTCTACGACGGCTAACGGCTTGCTCATACCTTTTTCTTCTCTGATGGCTTTTAGGCGACTGCTTATACGGCTTGGTTCGACCGAAGTTTTTTGCTTTCTATGTTGCTACCAGTGGAATGGAACTGTTCTTTGACCCTCTCTCTCTCTCCCTCGAAATATTTTATTTTGTGCTTCACACAACTAGCGTTAGTTGTGTGAGGCCTCTTTTTGTCTCACAACTGACTAGGTCCAGAATTTTGTGGATCCAGATGTTTAAGATATGGGTCCATAAATATGTGACATAAAAAGAGGCCTCACACAACTAGTATAAATTGTGTGAGACACAAAATAAAATCACTCGGAACCAACAAACATAGTGATCGAAATATATATAGCTTCTTTTTGGAAGGCGCTATTTGAATTTAAGAAAGCAAAAGACCTGTCTTCTTACCCGTCCCACAAAAAAAGTAAAGATTCTCGATCCCACATACTAGCTAAGGCGTTATCTCGGACATTGTTGCTTGTTTCGGCTCCAAATCACAAAATTTCGACTTTCTAAAAAACTTAAATCGAGGTATTCCGACTTAGTTTTTGTTAAAACTTTGTATAAAATATGCATATTAGTTATTTTTTATGTGCTCTATGTTATTTTGTGATTGTTTTCCGATTTAACGAAATTTGTTATTTTTTATCCGGACTATAATATTAGTGTGCTAAAAAAAATCGTAAAATAGAGAAATTGTAATTAGTTGTTGAATTTTTTTTAATTAGTTACTTTTTAATGTGGTATATGTATTTTCTTGATTGTTTTGTGATTAAATTGATTTGTTGTTTTTATCCGGGTCAGATTATTTATTTGCTAAAAGACTAGTAAACTAGATAAATTGTTACTTTAGTTCCCTATAGTGGTATCTTGTGGCCTAATGTAATGCTCGTATTTATAATATAGTGACCTTTTAGCGTAGTAAAACGTAGTGCCCTTTAGCGTAGTATCCTTGTAGTTATAGAAATTAATCATTTAATTATCTCTTATTCCCAAAAATATGTCAAAAAACTAATAGTTCAAACACAAACTATCTCCAATTATAGTCAACTAACGTAAGAACATAAGAATTCAGGATAGTTGGTGCTACTGGGCCTTAAATATTATGTCCGGAACCAAAATGTGAATATTTAATAATTAAATCTTGTATAGTTATAAAAATTAATTATTTAATTTTAGTATAGTAAAAAATAAGTCAGTAACAAACAAACATATAAAATAATAAACTAACATATTAAATAATAAAACTAACATATACAATAATAAACTAACATATAAACTAACAGACCTGTTGAGTGAAAAATCGAAAAAATTTCTCACCGCGAACATAAGAATTCAGGATACATTGGTGCTACTGGGCCTCAAATATTGTGTCCGGAACTAAAATATAAATATTTAATAATTAAATCACGTATAGTAAAAAAATAGGTGAATAACTAACAAACATATAAAATAATAAAACTAACATCTGTGTGTAACATATAAAATATAAAATTATAATATTGAAAATGTATCAACCTAATTAACAATATAGTAAAAATATCGAATAAAATTTAATATTCAAGGTATTGCAATATATTTAAGCAATGGAAAAGAAAAATAATGTAATTAATTTTGTTCAATTTACAGTAATCGTCACAGAGGTTTATGCATCCCGGACCTGCCTCCTTAGAGTTACTATTGCTACAGGCCGAGCATAGGTCTTCCTACATATGGGAGGGGCAGTCATTGGCCCAGACTTTACGTTCTAGGAGAGTAGACGATATGTGGGACTTTCTTAACAACCGCAAACTCTATCCTCGTGTAGTCAGACGCCTGCAGGATACAGAGTTTTATAGGATCATTGAGATCGACCGGCTGCAGTTGGATTGGTCGTTGATCATGGCTTTGATAGAGCGGTGACGACCAGAGATGCACACATTCCATTTGCCCATTGGCGAGGCCACTATCACGCTGTAGGACGTGGAGGTTCTGTATGGGCTCCCGGTTGATGGACTTCCTGTTGCTTTGCCGCAAGGCATGCAAGATTATACGCGAGATCAGTACCTGGAGACGTTGCAGTGGCTCACCGATTTCCGGCCAGAGGATTAGGATACATTGGTTGGGGCTAGTCGTTTTGTGTTGACGCCCGTACGGCTGCATTTGGAGGCCATGCATGATGACATTACTCATGATACACCGGAGGTTCATATTAACCGGTACACGAGGTCGGTGCTGCTGCTTATGTTTAGAGGCGTATTGTTCCCGAATACTTCGGGAAACCTAGTCAGCTTGAGATTTCTTCATCATCTTGAGCAGCTAGATGATTTAAATCAGTACAGCTGGGGGTGCTGCTGTTCTTGGTTACTTGTACAGGCAGATGTGTCGGGCATGCATGGGCACCCAACGAGACGTTGCAGGATTTATGTCGCCGCTGCAGGTGAAAACATAGTCAAATACTCTCTTCATTATAACATACATCATAAAAATATACCTTAAATTTTACGTCCAAATTGTATATTAGGTTTGGGCCTGGGAGCGGTTCCTGTAGTTTCAGCCACCTCTACCACCCATAGCTCAGGATGCACCACCTCTACCGTTTCTCCCTTTCGCTAGGAGGTGGGTTGATAGGCGGGGATACAGACACGAGTACGAGTCTCGACATAATCTCCCCTATTGTAGAGATTTGTTGGATTTGCTGGAGACGCGCATGTAATTCTATACTTAAGTTTACTTCGCCTGGATTTAGTGTTGCGTATACTCATGGTTCCTGTTTTTACGTAATAGTTCATTTGGAAGCCATACAGCGACAAGTTAATAGTTGGTTTGCCTGATTATTGCTCGACTGGACGACTTATCTAGAGTTCTTCCGTCCCGTTGATGTGTCTCGATATAGTCGATCATCATGCCACCGAGCGAGTCCTTCGCCAGTTTGGTCGACCGCAGTATGTACCTCCACTACCCGCTTGGCTTAGGACACATCTAGCGGGATGATCGTTCGAGGGTTGACCAGGCATATGAGGCATGGCTAGAGTTGCAGATCCAGACTTGTGACCAGCGACGTGACCTGATTCCGCCACTCCCTCCAGCCCATCTTATGGATAGTGAGCATGCGTATATCGGTTGGTACCGCAGCATTACCTGACTTTTCGTCGGGAATCCCGTTCATTGCGCTGGCGGTCGATTCGTTCCATACGCCGGGAGGCATGAGGCGCTGGTATGTTATTTGGTATACTTAGTTATAACGTTAACCTTACTGTTTCGTAATTAATATTTTACATGTTGTGCAGGTTATTGGCCTACATCAGTTCCACCAGTTGGGACTGCAGATGCAGCAGTATACTAGCGAGGGAGCAGCCGCTTTGCACGACTATGGCTGGCAGGTTACAGAGTTGGCTGCCCGGACATTGCAGCGAGCCCGGGATGATGAGCGCTTAGGACACGAGGCTATTATATGGCGCCAGAGCAGTGCCATCATGGGCCGACATTACAGCCTGAACGTGGTCGACGTGGCAGGGGTGTCCCACGAGGTAGGGGTATCCCGCGAGGTCGTGGGGGTCGGTGAGGAGGTGGTCCCCATCAAGGGGGCGTTGAGGCACCTGTTGAGGATGTTGGAGTTGATCAGCCAGGTGACCACCTTGATCCTAGTGATATCCCGTCATTTAGCTTAGGGCTTACTCCAGGGGCTTCACAGGTGACCCCATTAGCTCCATTGTTAATCGGCGGCACGACCTTTACCTCACATGGCTGGGATGCGTGTTTTCTTGACCCTCTAGAGGCTTCGACGCTTGCTGATCCTCATCCGGTACGAGATGTGGATAGTAGGCGCCGACTGAGTTATGGCTCATCATCGAGGGATGCTGAGGATCTTTCATAGGATTTGTTTGTATTACTATTATTTATATTTGTGTTTATCTTATTGATTAGTCAAAAATATCTAAAGCCAATTTTTTTATGCCATCTTCCTCGCCCGTCACGGGCATGCCTGAGACGAATGATTATATTAAGGAGGCCGCTGAGGATATGGTAAGACATTTTAATTTTTTTTTAGCTAACACGTACATTACTAATATATCTTTCATATACTAAAATATCGCATTATTCTGTAGGTTACTGCTGAACCGACAACCACTTCTATCGAGCCTGCCAGCCTTACTGATGATCATGATGCAGCGGATCATCCGATAAAGAGGCGACGTAATGAGGATGATCTTGATAGTGTAGCCGGGCGGGATGGGATGCGCCTCAGGCCAGCGGCTGCTTTAAAGCATAAAGGTTGTGGGACACATTAATTTTTTTTTTTGATTTTATGTACATATGACAATCAGTAAATAATAGCAACTTTATCTATGGTTTAGCATTATATGCGCGTTATGTTTTTGTTTCTCGGTTTCTTTGTTATTTTAATAGTAAAACTGGGCAAAACAAACATAACAAATTAACATAATTTATATTCAATACAACTAATGAAAATACATGACACGGAAAACATAAAGATAAAATACCACCCTCAACACATACATGTGTTTGTATAGTCACTACCGCCCATTTTTCTCTGCTCCAACCACTTAAAATTCTCTTCTATAATTGTTTCTTCTTCCGCCTCTTTTAGTTTCTCCTACAGTGCCGCTATTTCTTGTTGCATTTCAGAGATCTGGCATTGGTATTCAGCGTTCACATTCCAAACATACTGCAAAATTGATTTGTAGTATTCCTGGTTAGTGGGTTCATCATACCATTCCTCAAACATACAATGATTTCCGTCATTACCTCCAAACCTGAATAGACACATCCATTATCTGCGCCCAACATTACCATCTGACCAACATGCCTTCATAATCGCACGTTTGCCACAATAGCACCTTGGTTGGTCATTGCGTCCAGACATTTGTTAATGCAAGAAAAATGAAAAAATTAATGAAAAGTTTTGCTATTTGTTTTGGTTAAACGCAGATAATAACTAAAATGCGCTGGTCATTTATAGGAAAGAAAAAGCACATAACGTGGTATTTAGCCGCGCTATGCTTCGCGTGCTAACGATTTTTTACGGCACAATAATGCTTTTCCAGAAGATAGCTTTTCCAGAACGACGGCTTTATAAGGTTGACAAGACAATACACATAG